CAGCGGGAAGCAGGAGAGGAGGAGAGATTGCAGACATCATTAGCCCAGCCGCCCAAGGGCGCTATTGTCCTCCTCCTGCGTGGTGGGTGTGAGCTGAGCTCACTCCACTGTTCTACAGGGCATGAGCCCACAGGAAATCAGTGAAGCTTCCTGGCGTTTTACCTCTGCTGACCCGAGCACCATTAGGGAAAGCAGAGCGTCACCTCACCGATGCAGTGACCCCAGGCAAAGGGTCAAAGGTCTGTCACCAGGTCAGAGTCTCTCGCGGGTTCTGGGTTCACCACCCGCCACCACACTGCAACAGGAGCACCTTTGGTGCAGGGGAAAAAACCTTATTTGAACCAGTGGGCGGGTCTGTGGGAGAAAGGGGGAGGGTCCAGTCACCACCTATGCGGCAAAGTGGAGCTGAGCAGGGGGCGGCGAGGCCTGCCGTGGGCAGCCTGGACCGGGGCGCCCAGGGACAGTCTGAGCAAGTCCTGCCTCTGAGGGCGCTGGCAGGGTGCCGCAGAGGGCTGCTGCTGACCTCAGGACCCGCCCATGCGCTGTGGGTGAAGGCCCGCCAGCCACCCAGCTAGTGACCCCAGCAACCCAGAGAGCCGCCTCTGGGTGAAGTCTGCCCAGACGGCCGCTCAGCTCCCCCCGCGCTCAGGACGCCGCCCTGGAGTTCAGGCGGGGCCCTGCGCTGGCTCACGCCTTCCAGTTTGGCCTGTGTCTGGATGTCAGAGGGGGGCATTTGGCCCCTCATCCTTGCGGAGAACGATGGTGTGGTCTGTGCTCAGCCCGGAGGAGGGCCCAGGAGTGCAGGGCTCAGCCAGCAAAGGCGGCTGCCCCAGTGAGGCCCACAGCTGCCCCGAAGCACTCCCTGGGGACAGGGGAGGCTGGGGCGCAGTGGGTGCTCATGGGCAGAGCCCCCTGGAAGAGAAGGTGGCTCTCCCAGCAGAGCCAAGGGGGCTCAGAGGCCATCAAAATGCACCTGCTAGGTTGAACCAGCGGGCTGCGTTCCAGCTCCACTTGGCAGGTGCAGTGAGGAGCTGTCCCCCGTGGTGAGGTAGAGCGGCCCAGAACTCCTGCTCCCGGGGGCGCTCCTGCTCCTGCTCCCACTCTTCGAGTTGATTTCCTCCAGGTGGAGGTTCCTCACCTCTCAGCCCTGGAGTAATTCCCCAGCGCCGCTCGCCCTTCCCGCCCCCATGGCTGTAGGCGCCTTCCAGTCTGACCAGACAGTTGCTGGCATGTGGGTCTTAGCCCAGGTTTCCCCTGGAGGGCCTGGGTGACCTTGGGCAAGACGGTGACTCCTTTAGGTCTCGGGTGCTTCTTTTTTAAAAGGGGGCAGGGGAGGGACTCTAATAACATCACACATACCATGGAGTACTGTCACTTAAGGCACTGCAAGGCACACTCAGTCTGCCAGGTGTTCAGAGGACAACAAGAAAAGTATCTGAGGGTGTACTCTAAAGCCGGGCCCCCAAGTTATTAAAGTTTCCCACCTAGCCCTTTAAGGAGCGAATGTCACATGGTCCCTGTGGGACAGTGGTGGCCTTGCCTCTTTTTTGCTCCCCACAGCCCTCACCCTCCAGCGCAAGTGTTAAGGGGCAGGATGTCCTAAAGGAACTCTGCAGAGTCTTGCGGACTCCACCCCCTACTCCAGCTTCTGGACTCCGCCCCCTGCTCCAGTGATTGGAAACTACAACTCCCAGCAGCACCAGGGAGAGAACTGCGAGGACCCAAGGGCGGAGCTAGCAAGAATTCTGGGACTTTGGGGGATAAATAGGGTGCCGTTGTGTTTCTCTCGAGAAACGGCTCTCAGGACCAAGGTGACTGGGGCTTTCAGTTAGTTGGTTACCAGAGCTCCTAGCCTAGCCGGTAAGATATTCTAGTTACCTTGAATCTCTCTCTCTTTCCCTGGGTTGTTCCTTTTCCTTTCCCCTTTTGTAAATAAGCCCATTAGAGGCCCACAGATAGGCAGCCCAGTTCACACTGGGGTGCCCTGTAACACGAGGAGTCACCTTTGGATGAAAGTTTGAATGACAACCGTGCTTTGTACATGCTGGCAACTGAAAACATGTTTTCTGCATCAAGCTTAATTGATCTGCTGAAGTCCTTCCAAATGTGTGGTTCTGCGGGTGGGTTTTCATGGCTCTCCTCGGCTAGAGCCAGGCCACAAATGTGAATGCTCCAGAAGGCGGGTGTCCCCCTGGGAAAGCGGGGTTACTGCAGGCCAGCTGAGTCAATCAGCAAAGGCAAACAGCCTGAGGAACCTAGGCTGGAGGGCTGGTATGGAGCGGGAGGGGCAGGAGGGGGGAGGGGAGGGAGAAGGAGCAGGAGGGGGCTGTCTGCTAGTGACCTGCAGCTCCCCCTTTGTCACACGTACTTCCAGGGGGCATGCAGAGCGCTTTCCTCCCTTACACTAGTTGCCCCTTCCTGTACCAGCCTGTGGGTTTTCCCAGCTCCTGGAGCCAGAGGATTGACAAGCCCATGCACTGCATTGACATAGGGTGCAGTATAGGGCTGCTGCCCCCCACCTCCCATGATAGGTCCTACTCCTCCCCCCACTTCATTTTTTAAAAAGATTTACTTATTTATGCATACAAGAACTAGGGTACAGGCCAGAAATGCGGGGGTGAGAGGCTCCGCCAGAGACAGAATACCTCCTCTGTTTCTCCACTTCACACATGGCCTTGAAGTACTGGCCCTGCACCTCTGGCTCTGGCCCCACAATGCTCTCACAATACCCTCACCCCAGCCCACAGCACCCCAAGAAGGCTGGTGTTGGCAGCTCCTCTTTTGACTCAGCCCACATGACTAGACTATTGGCCCATGAATGGATGGTACCCTCAAGTCACACCAGCCCTTGCTCAGTGGCCTGGCCAAAGGCCCCCAGGGCTGGGGCCGAGTCCCTGAGAAGGGGGACGGGGCAGGTGCTTCAAAATCTGCTGCTTCAGTCCTAGGCAAGAAGATATTGGGGACTGGTTACTCTGTGTAATGGTCACTCTGTGTAATGAAATGTCCAGAAGATGGACTATTTCACAGAGAATGGGAATCCATAAAAAGTCAAATTAAAATTCTAGTGCTCAATATTAAAATAGCTGATATTACGAATGCAAGAGGGCTCTTCCCTGGTGGCTCAACGGGTTAAGGTGCAGTGCTGCACCTGTTGGCTGCAGCCTGTTCCAGTGCGAGTTTGATCCCCGGCCGGGCAGTGACCCACATGGCGCGGCAGACCTTTCCTGTCTCCCTGCTGCTCCCCTCAGCAGTGTGCTTTGTCAATCTGCCTGTTCTGCTCCCCATTCTGTCTCTGGTGAATCCTCTTACCACCCCTGCACCTCTGGTCTGTACCCCGGTTCTATATGCATACATAAATGAGTCATTAAAAAAAGAAGAAGAATGCAATAGTTTCACTTAGCAACAGGCCAAATAAAAGAATGGAGGGCCCTCCCAGGCACTATGAAGCTATCTGCAGCCACTGCAGGACGGGTTCGATCCCCGGCCAGGGAGCTGACCCACATGGCACAGCAGACCTCTCCTGTCTCCCTGCTGCTCCCCTCAGCAGTGTGTTTCAGTCTACCCATCTGTTCTGTCCCCCACTCTGCCTCTGGTGAATCCTTTCACCCTCTGCACCTCTGGCCTTATATGTCTAACTAAATAAATCTTTTTTTTTTTTAAAGATTTATTTATTTATTCATACAGAATTGGGGTACAGGCCAGAGATGCGGAGGGTGATAGGCTTCACCAGAGACAGAGTGGGGAACAGAACAGGCAGATTGATGAAGTACACTGCTGAGGGGAGCAGCAGGCGGGTCAGGAGAGGTCTGCCGCGCCATGTGGTCACCTCCGGGGCAGGCGGGGATTGAACTCATGCGGAAGTGGCTTTAGCCTCCCAATGCTGTGCCTTAACCTGCTGTGCCACCAGGGAGGGCCCTAAATAAATCTTAAAAAAAAATAATAATAAGTGGGAGAAGAAGTAGGAAGTAGGAAATGTAACATTTACTTGCTTTGGCTAACTGTCTTCCCCCCTAAAATGTCCGCCCTTGAGGCTTTCCTTGCTCGCTGTTCACTGCTCTTTCCCAGGGCCTGACAACAATAGGTGTTCAGAAAGCCCGTGCTGAAGCCATGGCTGCGTGCACCCTCTAGCTGTGCAGGCCCTGTGGCGGCTGTGCGTGCCTGGCCATTTGTTCAGCATTCATCTGAGAATCTGAGCCCCAAGAGAATGAGACCCATGTCCAGCAGGTTCCCACTTCCCTCTCAGAATCTTCCAGAAAGCCTGACCCAGTGTAAGATGACTGTTTGTGAATGCCTTCCTCTGCCATCTCCTACATGAACGGCCCCCAGGAAAATCAGCCCTTGCCTGCAGGAGCCAGCTGCCCTGTGGTAGGGGCGCTGGCAGATCCTGAAGCATCTGAATCCTGCTGTTCGTTCTCTGGTCAAAGGCACAGGAAGCAATTGTTAGAGGCTGCCAGACAGGGGGTGACCTCCTGGGGCCCCTCCCCTCCAGGAAGGGAGGTGGTGAGCGCAGCAGCAATGGCAGCAGGGCAGAGGCAGGCAGAGGGTGCTGGCCCGTCTCACCCCTTCTCTGCCTGGAACACTCCTCCCTCTTGGGGTGACCCAGCCCTGAGGTCTGGGCAATGACATTCAGCACCCTGCCCAGATCACTGGGATGGAGGGGGATACTCCTGTGTCTCTTGAGGACGCTTGGGCCTCTTACTGCGACTCACACCCGAGGGACACCAGGAAAGACCCTCCGCGGTGGCCGCAGCGATGGCTGTCTCTGTGAGGCCTGGCATGGGGCTGCCCTCACACCCACCTCCCTAGCCAGTCGGCTCCAGATTCAAGGGTGGCGAAAGCACGTGGCCAGAGCTGCCGCTGAGCCGGCCCTTCCTCGTGGGCATCACTCCTCGTGGTCAGCAACCCAGGGTTGACTTTATTAGGCTCTTGGCACACCGGCCTTCCACTACTGCAGCCCACCAGCAGGCTGGTGCTGGCCTTCCTGATGGTGCAGGGGAGAAGAGACAGCCCCGGCCTCCCGCCTCCATCAGCCCGCGGCTGGGTTGATAACTTTTCCCAGGAACAGTAAGCTCTGGGTGGTCACCTCCCAAAGGAGCACCAGGAAAGGCCTGTTGAAATGGGTCTGTGGAGCTGACGTTGTGTTCAGAGACCTGGGCGGGGAAAGGAGGCCCGAGACAGCCCCTGCCTCGGTTCCCCGCTCATTCATGTCCACTGTGGCCTTGTGGGTCACCTAGGCAGAGAGAAGAAGGGGCAGAGACAGTGTCAGTGCAGGCTGCTTCCACAGGGAAGCCACCTCCCGTGGCTTTGGGGTGACACACGGGAGGCCCCCTTTCAGGTCCTGCTGAGCCCGCCTTCCCGGAACACAGCTCCTGTCTTTATTTCATTTCCTGGCCTCACTACCCTCGCCTGTCCGGTTGTGTCCTCCCTAATGCTTTGTGTTTGCAGGGGGACACGGCTCCCTAGTGGCCCCCAGTAGGTGTCTGCTTTCTTGGGGACTCTCTGTTCTTGCCCCCAGGGACTTATAAGGGAGGTGGGGAGCTGGCCGCGACAACTTCAAGGTTACCATACTGGAGCGCCAGAGGAGGAGACATCCCGTGTCAAATGAGAAACCTTTGACACACCCACATTGAGCACCCAACCCCTCCCCCACACCTACATTCACCACCTCCACCCCCCACAACCCCACCCATGCCCACATTTACCCTCTTACCCTGGAGATGATTTGGTCGAGCTGCCCAGTGATCCCCCACAAGCCAGCATCTAAGCTGAATACGTTGGCGAGGCCCATGTGGGGAAGGATCTCGTCCAGGTTATATGTTCCGGAAATGGAAAACCTTGGCAAGTGCAAATCCAGCAGGCTGCAGAGTCAGACATGGGGGGGTATGGAGGGGGGGGTGTCACACGCCGGCCCAGCCTCTCTCTGCCAGCAGCCTGCGCTTTGGGAGGGGAAGTGTTTCCCAGGGTGAGGGGCTGCCTGTCATGGTGGAACATTCTGTGACCCAGAGCCTCCTCCTCAGACCTCACAGAGTGCCACGACCTGAGGACTCCCT